CCTTTTATGTTGTTTTTACTCTCACCCACAATAATCCACAGCCACAACAGTGGGTGGGTGGGAGAATTTGGGGAATTTAAAGTCCACACATCTTAAAGGTACCAAGTTTGAAAAAAACTGCTTTAGATGAATATATAGATGGGTTATATTTCTTGTCTTATTTATTTTAATTTTTAATCTTTATTCTTTTGCACACTACCTAGAGTCGCTTCAGCAATTGACATAGTTAATACATTGATTAAATAAAAGCCGTTGTGGTATTTTTACAAATTCAGTTTTACTGCTAACTTTCTTATGGGGATTTTATGTTGCATCAATGGCCATTATTACTGCTGCATCTGATTTTTCTTTTGACAAATGTTCTGTTTTTATGTCTTTTAGAATGCTCTTTGACTTTACCATCCTTTTTTTCCCCTGATCTCTGTATTGCCTAGAAAACTGTGACTTTGGGGCAGCCTAGAATGCAATAAATAAAAAAATTGTAGTGTCTTATCACCCGCCTGGGCATAATGTATAAACAGGCATGAGTGTGTGTACTGCTGATTTCCAGTTTTGTAGCATCTTATCTAGAAATACACTTTGGGAGATGGTCCTAGGTGAGGAGCATGAAACTGTGGTGTTGAGACTAATGATTTATGTTTTTGTGGTGACTAATAACTACAATTTCCTCTTTTTCCCCCTCTGCAACAGAGTTCTCCTAGAAGCTGGAGGGATTCTACCCACGAACATTCAGGATGATTCCATAACAGACCCAAATCAAAACCTCACTCTTTGCACATCATGTTTTCCTGACAAGTTCTATTCACATGTTCGAGATGGAGAAAACTTTGGAACCCAGATTGGCTTCATATCTATTAAAAACTGAGGGAACATTCTAAACAGTGGAAACTATTAATGAAGGCTGATGAACTTTCCTTATCAGTGGAAAGTTCCTACCAACAGTTATAATTTCCAGCCATTTTTAAATAAAATAATGATCTTACAAATACATTCACTCATCCATTGCATGTTTCTTCAACCTACTGGAAGAGCAGGGATGAGCAGCTTTCTTGCATTTGAGGAGACATGCTTTTTTATTATTATTATTATTATTATTATTATTATTATTATTATTATTATTATTATTATTATTGATAGACAGATTCCCTAAGAGCTGCAGAGGTGGGCAGTGATGCCATGTGGGCAGGACCAAAATGTTCACCCTTTGGGGACAGAACGGGGGTGCCTGTATTTTGCTCCTTAAAATTCCCAACCTGGGAAAATCAGCCTAATCTTGGGGATCTTAGGGAACGGAGGAAGAGGTAAAATGAGTTTCTTAAGCCTCTGTTGAATATTTTGGTCCTGCCTATTGTGGGGCAGAAAAGATACGCTGGAGGTGAGACTGTCCACCTACACCCACAGCTTAATTTTGAGCATCTGCACTCTTCTACATCCCATCTTTGCAGAATCTTTGTCTCCAACATTAGGGGCTTTTCCTTTCTTCCAGTATGTGTTTTTTTAACCATCTAGCCTAGTCATCCTCTCTGTTTCATGATGCTTTGGTCTGCTGGATGTGGGTGCTAATGCAGAACGTCCATTTCTGTTTTCTTCCTGACTCTTCAGTTCCAAAACTGATTCACTGGGTGGCACTGTGTAGTTAAAAATGTCATTTGAGCATAACCCCTGCAAGATTATTTGGGCTCTCAGCTTTTCGGAGGCAAGTATTTTTTTGTGTCTGTGTAATTCTGGGGCTTTACTCCAGAGATACGTTTTCATCAGATAGGAAAATGCAGATCTCCGATATACGCAGGTTTGAATCTACCAGCTAAATGGATCAATTCCTGTTACTACTAAGCTATGTAAATATAATCACGAATAATGATTATATTTACACAATGATTTTGCCAGAATAATGGGAAGGAAGATTTGATGGTCTTGTCTGCCTCAGTATATTAACCACATACACCCAATATAGTCAGAAAAAAATACGTGGACTGACCATGAGCAAAGGCTCCTGTAACAGGAAATCACTCCTTATGTTCTACCACTTCCTTTCTTTGTTCTCCCACAATATGCTGTCTCTATCTGCGGTCAGTGAAAAAGATTGGTTTTCCACAGTGGAAGGCAAAGTGGTGGGTGTAGTGATTAACATAATTGTTTAATAAATTCTAATTGCTGCTTTGCAGGAGACAGGAATCAGCTTGTTGCATAGAGCAGAGTGTTGCAAGAGTGAATAGCTGAAGGTCCCCCAATACATGTCATGGATGAACTGGATTTTTAGTGGAAGTAACTCACTCTGTTAAGACACTGTATGAAACGCTATTCTCTGTCTCCTGCTAGTCCCACACAACTGGTGGAGAAGAAGGATGAACAGTGATCAGCTACAACAGTACATGTGTTAATAAGGGGGCTAATTGCTAAGTTTCAGTTCACTTTGAAAGTTCAGTTCACCCACCATGGCATGAACACAAGTAGAGGAGTTCCCAGCATCCAACCATGTTAGTCTGTGTTACCAATTTTGCCTGTGCAATTTAGAACCAAGTTTCCTCTTTCAACAACCTACAAACAGAAATAACACCCTTCTGGCTGACAGTTGTACAGCAAAAGCAATGGAAGCATTTATACATAGGTACAACCCTGGTCTCATCCATAAAAGGCCTTCTCTTGGTGATGACCTCTTCTTGGAGAAGCACTACACTTTCTGTAGACCATCTTTTCTCAACCAAGTTTCTGCCAAGCGTGCTGGAGTTGCAACGTTCAAAATGTGGCTATAGAAGCTTCCAAGGAGAGGAGCTTGTGTGTTATCCAAGCCTTGAAAATGAAAAAATACTGATGCTTAAAAAGCACGTAAATTAATTTGGTTTACTTTTGAACATTCCTGTATATTCATAGTTTGCTGTGTTTGTCCTTGTTGTCTCCAAGTTCGGCCAGGTATGACTGTCCTGTGAAGCCAATCCCTGGTTCTACCTTGGTGCAAAAATCTTTTTACAGACCTTTCTCCAAAAGGAAATGACTTGCTAGCAACTTCCTTCTCCACCTTCTACGAACCATGACTTGTCTACAGTGAATCCAACCAAATCTTTTGAAAGCCAGACTACTGGGATACTCTGTGCAGGGTAGATCTGGTGAGGGTTCAAGGTGTAGACAAACAAGAACCAAGGAATATTCTTCCAGGAAGAGATTGTCTCATCTGCCTTCTCCCTCCCCAGAAAGATCCAAATACAACCTCAACTTTTTTGCAGGGCAGAAATAATCCAGAAAGGACTTGCGTGAAGTTGTGACACCAAGGAGACCCAGGGCTACCTTCTGCCTGACACAGAACCTCCATCTTGTGTCCCATTGAGAAGTAACTTTCTTCCAAATAAGTAACCCCAGGGTCCAACGGAGCACAGTGATGGAATGACCTACAGATAATTGGGTGGGGATGATTTCCCGATACCTATAGCCTAGGAAGAGCAACTAATTCCAATCAAACAGCTATTCCCTGTATTGGGAAAATGTTTAAAACACCAAAAGGGAAGTTTCTCATTTAAGACCAAGGCCTATACCTGCCAGCAGAACCAAATGTTTCTACATTATCACAGTTTTCCTTCAGCCAAAACAAAGATGCCGCTGTGGTATCCAGGTCCTTGATCCACCCCATTGTTAGGGCTGAGATAGCAACTGAGAAACAAGTGCTAAAGAAACTGACCCACAAGGCGTACAGAAGGCAGTGTTATTTCCCCAAGTTTGATTAATCTTCAATGTTTTCAAAATATTCCTTGCTCCCTCTTTTTAGCATTACCAAAGGGTGGGGGGACTTGCCTTCAATAACAGCTGCATGTTATTCCTTGGAAAGGCACCAGCCTTTGATTTCACAAGAAAATCTTTATTTCTCCATCAGACATGTTTTCCCACAAGTTCTCATATTTCAGCAACAACAGCGGGCAAAAAAAAAAAAAAAAAAAAAAAA